CTCAAACTTTAGAGATCTATTTCTACACTCCAACTTTAGAGAGAGATCTATACTCTCAAACTTTAGAGATCTATTTCTACACTCCAACTTTAGAGAGAGATCTATACTCTCAAACTTTAGAGATCTATTTCTACACTCCAACTTTAGAGAGAGATCTATACTCTCAAACTTTAGAGATCTATTTCTACACTCCAACTTTAGAGAGAGATCTATACTCTCAAACTTTAGAGATCTATTTCTACACTCCAACTTTAGAGAGAGATCTATACTCTCAAACTTTAGAGATCTATTTCTACACTCCAACTTTAGAGAGAGATCTATACTCTCAAACTTTAGAGATCTATTTCTACACTCCAACTTTAGAGAGAGATCTATACTCTCAAACTTTAGAGATCTATTTCTACACTCCAACTTTAGAGAGAGATCTATACTCTCAAACTTTAGAGATCTATTTCTACACTCCAACTTCAGAGAGAGATCTATACTCTCAAACTTTAGAGATCTATTTCTACACTCCAACTTTAGAGAGAGATCTATACTCTCAAACTTTAGAGATATATTTCTACACTCCAACTTTAGAGAGAGATCTTTACTCTCAAACTTTAGAGATCTATTTCTACACTCCAACTTTAGAGAGAGATCTATACTCTCAAACTTTAGAGATCTATTTCTACACTCCAACTTTAGAGAGAGATCTATACTCTCAAACTTTAGAGATCTATTTCTACACTCCAACTTCAGAGAGAGATATCTACTCTCAAACTTTAGAGATCTATTTCTACACTCAAACTTTAGAGATCTTTTTTTCACCTCTCTAGATCTTATACTGAATCCCTTTTGTTACTGTTGTGTGCAGCATAAAAATCCTTTTCAGACTTGTATCGTGGTCTTATATAAGTTTTCTAGAATTTATCAAACTGATCCAGAGATATTTATATATCAGTTCATTTTTAAAGAGTTGACAACATTTATGAGAAATTGATACCATATTTTTTATCTCATTGCTTTAGAGTAACTTTTGTTTTTAGGATTTGTAGAAAGTTTTGAATGCATCATCTACATGGATGCAGACAATACACAGGATGCTGTAGTGTTTACTGGGACCACTTTGACATGAGTAGTAAAAGCAAAGTAAATAGGATTTGAAGCTGTACTGGATACATGCCACATCTTAAAGTTAAAGCTATGGATATCACAAAGAAACTGATACCGGTAACTTCCATCACAATGACGTTGATCTAATATTAGCGCTATAGCTAAATTCATTGATACTTGCAATTGAATTCTGATTTTATGAAAACAATGCTGTATTGATATATCTTAAATACTATAAGATATCATTAGTGTAGGCTCATTGTCCAACTATAACTTACGGAGTTATGCTCCTTTATTCAATTGCTGAAATGGTGTTCATGTCTGCTCATTATCTTTAGTTATTTTCAATGGATTAACTTCAAACTTCATCAGAAGATTAATTATCACAAGATCTCGAGCGTTCTGATAACAACATTATCTGACGGTAATTTATGGAGTCATGCCCCTTTATTCAATTGACCAAATGGTGTCCGTTCATATCTCGTGTTATTTTTAACAGAATAACTTCAAACGTCATAGGAAGGTTAATTACCATGCGAGTTAAGTTTGATAACCACCATTATTCGACTGTAATTTATGGAGTTATGCCCCCTGATTCAGTAGAGTGAGCGTACTCACCATTATCTGCATTCCTGAAGGTGTTCGATTGCACCCATTGATCTACCAGGTATGTTCAATTATTTCTCCTTTCACATCAGTTACGCACAAATATTTCATTTTTTTCAACAATACAAACAACTGCTCGTTCAAAGGGCTTATTATGTACTGCTTCTTGTTGACAGTGAATTTGTTTTCTTAATTGAAACACCTATTTTTCAGTCTCTATGATAAGGAACTCTTGTATCATGTGCATGTGTTATACTGGGTTGGAATGTTGTCAAACCAAACTTAGTTTCAATTTCTTAGTCGTTGACCTGTGATTAAATTGAGGAATTGATACAAGAAAGAGTTCCAAATGTTCTGTCACCTTGTCCGTCATCATTGTGCAGTTCAAGATCTTGAAAGAAAACTGAAACAAAAACTAGCGCTAGCTGCGATTTCATTTAAAGCTGTGGTTATTTTGCTGCAATAATGTGTGCTGAAATATGTAATCACAGGAAATTGTCCATTGAACAATACATGTTAAGTAATGTTCTTGCAATCAAATTGCTCACAAAGAATTTCACAATGTACCAGGTAAATGGCATAAGAATGTAATAGAATTGTAATATAAAAGTGTGTTTGTTTTCTCCGCTTTGTTCATGTCACAACAAATCGGAAATCTTTAACTCTTTCACCCTTGAAATTTGATGATGGACTGAATGGGAAGAGTTCAAATGTGTCATCAGGGGTGAATGAGTTAAGTATGGTGGCTAGTATTGACTTCCCTAGTAATGAAAGTCCTCATAGACTTGGGAAACTGTTTAGTCTAGTGGTTTGCAGAACATGAAAATTTCAAGTGAATATTAACAAATGATTGGTGATTCGATATTCCTAATGTAGAACTTTGCAGTAGCGTCCTAGGGTGGATCCGTGAGTGGATTATATAGAGCTCCTTATGTAGAACTTTGCAGTCGCATCCTAGGGTGGATCCGTGAGTGCATTCTATAGAGCTCCTTATGTAGAAATTTGCGGTAGCGTCCTAGGGTGGATCCGTGAGTGCATTCTATAGAGCTCCTTATGTAGAACTTTGCGGTAGTGTCTTAGGGTGGATCCGTGAGTGCATTCTATAGAGCTCCTTACTAATAAAACATAGTCAAGGAATAAAGGAATCTCTACACCAGAATGACGTTTTGTGTTATTTCATGTCTACATGTTTCGGCCTACTATTCAGCCGTCATTAGGCCCCGCATAGCAGGCCAAAACATGTCGACAGTTAATAACACAAACTGTCCTTGTGGTGTTGAGATTCCTTTATTTCATGATCAAGTGAATATTACTAACATTTCCTTTTTTCAGGAAATCAACATTTGAAAAAAAAAGGGTAAATGTTTGACAGTTAATCATCTTGTGTTTATAGTAGCCATCATGTGATGATCGACAATGACATCACTTTGAATGTGAGAGTAATAGGATTCTCTTGGTATTGACTCCACCGAGGGTAACTGTCTCAGACCTCCAAAATCTGTTTTGAAAGAGTACAAGTAAGTTATGAGGATGATAGATAGGTAAAGATGATATAACTATTACAGGACCGAAAACGCCTGTCAAAGCATACAGGGTATCTGAGCTATCGGGCAAGGTACACAGGGAATCTTAAATATCTGTCAAGGTAGACAGGATATCTGGTATATCTGTTAAGGTAGACAGGATATCTTAAATATCTGTCAAGGTACACAGGATATCTGGTATATCTGTCAAGGTACACAGGATATCTTATATATCTGTCAAGGTAGACAGGATATCTTATATATCTGTCAAGGTACACAGGATATCTTAAATATCTGTCAAGGTACACAGGATATCTGATATATCTGTCAAGGTACACATGATATCTGAGATATCAAACAAGGCACACAGGATATCTGATATGTCTACCAAGGCATGCAAGATATCGATGATAACAAACAAGGTACACAGGATATCTGTGATATCAAACAAGGCACACAGGATATCTTATATATCTACCGAGGCACACAAGATATCTGTGATATCAAACAGGACACGCAGGATATCTGATATGTCTTTGTTAGCGAAGACAAAGTCGTCGTCCCCCAGAGAGGCAAATTTTTAAAATCTTACTTCTCCAGTACTGGTGTCATTAAGTAATTTTCGCCCCTGAAATTTCATGATAAACTATTATAACCATTGAATTGGAAGAGTTAAATTGTGTCTTCAGGGGTGAATAAGTTTAACACATCAAGGGATCTCACCAAATTTGCTTTGAAGCATCCTTGAGACCCAGAAATCTAACGTTATAAATAGAAAGGGTGTTGAGAGACTGTTTCTTAATTGGGAGACGTGTGCAATATTACTTTAAATGAGAACATTTTGCCATATGATTGCTGAAATGTCCAGGTGAGCGATGCAAGCCCTCTGGGCCTCTTGTTCTGGCAGTAGTACACCACAAAATACACTACAATTTAGTGAAAGTAAATAGTTACTATAGGCCCTTTAATAATTACCATGATATACAATACAATGTAATTAGTGTAAATATTACAGTAACATAGACTTGTATAGTCCGAGGTTTAATATTACAGTAACGTAGACTTGTATAGTCCGAGGTTTAATATTACAGTAACATAGACTTGTATAGTCCGAGGTTTAATATTACAGTAACGTAGACTTGTATAGTCCGAGGTTTTCCTGTCTTATACTGGTGTGCCTGTTTAGATTTCTCAAGCTTTTATTAATGTGTCACAGACCTGACCTCAACCTTTACACTTCTCAAGTTTTGTTTAATCTTTTACCTGCTATAGATATTCTGTTTTGTTTGTTTTATTTCAGAATATAATGATTTTGAGAATTTAATAGGAAATTTAATTATTATTATAGCGAATTTGTAAAAGTAATTTAACAATATATTTGAAAGTATGTAACTTTATATGCATCTTGGATATGTTTGTTTATTGTTTGTAATAGCATGCTGCAATACTAACATTATAGCACCAATTTACAAAGCATGCCTTTTCAATATTCAATTTGTTAAATTTGTATGAAGGCTAGATTTAATGGTAATTAATGAGCATATTGTTTCAAAGTATTGGTATCAAAAAAAAAAAAAATATTGTTGATTTTATTATTTTATTGAAAGAAATTATAAAAGAAAAAATTCTTTGCCAACATCCAAATATTAAATGGAATTTGAATGAAGTGAAATTATTTAAAGATTTTCTTAGAACATTTTTTTTTTAATTTTTAAATTGTTGATATTGAAAGATTTATAGAGCACTTCCATTATTGAATGTTTTTTTACCCCACAGCTTACAAACAACAAGCCCACAGGAGGGGGACAGAAGCGGCCTACGTCTGCGGGAGGTAATCGAAGTGACGGTAGCAAGGCTTGTGTCATCCAATAGGAAGCCAGCTTACAAACAACTCAAGAGCTTACTTCATTATGAGAACTGCTGATTTCAAAGATGATTGGATGACTGGGGAAAGAGAATTGTCCAATAGAAATCCAGATGTTATGTAAACAATGATATGTATTGAGATGATGGGGGGAAAATTGTCACGTAAAAAAAAGTAGAAATGTTAATCATAAGTGATCAAACAAATGTAAAACTTTTACTGTACATGTACATGGTATTATGAAATTTTCATTGTGAAGAAAATTTTGAAGAAAACATTTTTGTTTGGCATACATTGCTGTGTAACATCAAACTTTCAGCGTCTTTACATATTCACTGTGTCTTTATCTCATGATTTATAGACAAATACTTCGTACAGTTCTGTTCTGGTGAACTTTGACACATGAGGACCCCAAAAATACATGTTATCCTGGGCTGTATAATAGTACATATGTACTTAATTACCTCATGAATATTATGTTATTATTTATTGATATTTTCATTCCCCTCACAGGGTGGAGGGTGCAATTAAATGATTTATTTTCTCGTCCATAATCATCCGTCCATACTACATCTTGGTTATTCTTAGCAATTAGTTCCTAGATTATATATTTCCAGAAGTATATTCTCCTATCATCAAGCTTCATCTTGAAGAGTATTGCACAAGTATTTTAAAAGTAGGTCGGTGTGACCTATATTTTTTGCTTCACTGACTTTGGGTAGAGTGTTTCCATTTAGCTCCATTTCTTTGGTTAGAATATTAATTGTGTTTAATGAAGGGATGGACAAAATGGATTCTTCAGATTGTAAGGTATCAGAGTTTGCAATAAGCGTGTTAACTTTGTAGTTATAAAAATATTTTATATTATTGTCCCTGTTTAAGAGATTAACCTTGGAAAAGGTGAAAATAAATGCATAAACTGTAATTGAAAAGCGGAGAAATTTGTAGTTCATTGGTTGCCACTCTTCTCTATATTTAATAATTCACCAGAGTTGTTCAGAATCATGTCTGACACAGAATTTTGAGCACAGTCAGATCCCGTGTTATAAGGTCAAGGTTTTTTTAGTTTGTTTATTATCTTGAGTAATACGTTTTGTTTAAAATGTATAAATTCATGCATTTATTTGACTATGTATATAACAGACGACTTGTAATAAATCACTTACTTAATAGATTGACAGATTAAAGTGCTGACAATCAAAGACCTATTTATAAAATAAACATATATTAGCAATAGATTTAATTCAAATATAAGATACAATTTTTATACTTGTAATAATGTAGACAATTGTTTTTATTGTTTGGGAGTTTTCAGCTCGAGAAAAACCATTACAATGTCTCACTATAAAAGTTAGTGAAGAGTCAAAACAAATATAAAATACGTTACAGTATTTTACCTCTAATAAGCCCAGGATGTCTAGTCCTGTGGTTGTTTTACTTTTTATGATAAACTGACCAATCAGAGAGCTGCATTTACTTTGATAAGTAATACAAATAAACAAATCCTTTTGATGTAAGTGTGACAGGTCTTCTACATAATTTCAAAGTATAGATAGAAAATGTGTACTAACAGGTATCTCTTTGAATGTTTGGTTTATACAGGTTTTCAAATTACACAGGTTCTGCTTACAATAGAAATGTATACCACCAGACCTCTTTGAATGTCTGGTTCATACAGGTTTTCAGATTACACAGGTTTAGTTTACCCAGACATCTGTTCCACTGGACCTCCATGAAGGTTGTTTTATACAGGTTTTCATATTTCACCAAAGTTTGGTATAGACAAGATACTTTGTGTAGAGGTACTATAAAAATTGTTACTCTGTAGTATTTACAAATATTCACAGAGGATTCCGTCCAGATATTTGTGTATTTTCATCCATTATATGGGCGCCATAGCGACACATACACACATTCATTGTTAGACATCAATATCTTCACTACAGCCGTTACCTATTTTGTTGATGCAATAATATGATTTCATGTTATGACTGAAAATTTGCAATATTTCTATGGGTTTTTTTCTCTCAAAGAGAACGTAAAATGAACACTTACAATATCAATACTCATGTTGCAAGCATGGATATACAAATACCATAACTGTCTTGTATGCACCTTCCCGTATCCTTTATATGCCCTAGTAAGTTACTCTAAACTGTAAATCTATCTCTGATTGCACAAAAGATCAACCTAGTATAACTAGTATAGTTTTCTTCTGATAACATTACGCTTGTATAAAACATCTCAACTCTTGAAATTTCCTCAAGTCTCAGATTTTCAATAGGCAATACATTGCTGGGAGATTAATAGTAAAATTCCATGTAACACTGAATCGTTACAAACATATATCTGAACTGTAGGATAAAAATCAACTTAAAATTGGTATATAGGAGAAAGGATTGAGTAATTCCAACAGTGTAGACAATATAAGGTCAACATTTTTAGAGCAGCCCCCTTCTTTATCAATTAAGACACACATTTTTTACCCCAAGTTAAACTCTCCGTCCATCCTAGTTTAGTTAACACAAGTTATCTAATTTTTGCTTTTTATATAAAAACATTGTACATACATTTAAATAGTGTACAAATATAATGTACATTGTACGTGAAAGTCTGCAGGTACAGACTACACAAAATATATGTACATTTTGTAAATGACCTAATTTTACTAATTGAAATTAGACTTTATTCTTTTTATGATTTGGCAAGATCTGATTTGCACTTTTAAATATAAACTGTCATCTGTGACTGGCAAGGTGCAATTGTTGATGTCCCTGTAGGGTTACACATACAGATATGTATTGGTGTAAGGTTATACATGTAATACACGTACATGTACCGGAACACTCGAGCCAGGCCAATCCTTCCCTGTCAGATAAAATGCTCCAGGATTTGGTTTGTTAATATTCTAAAATTGAAGAGTACTATAATTGCTGTAGAAATATGTACTTCAATAAAGGTTGCGTGTTTGGATCGTGAATTTAGAAGCCCGTGTAAACAGCTTAAATACACCGGTACTTTATTATAATGGTATAAGTTATAGAATATAAAAATAGCTATAAAATTGTGGAAGAAATAAAAGTTGACAACCAAAAGATAACACAAAATGTGTAAAATGATCTTGATTTTTTTCTTTTTTTTCTTATATTTTTTAAGATATTTAATTCAGCGATTTGTGGGGAAAATTCTGTTATTTTTTCCAGCTGTTTTACTCACGGTTGTATGCACTTGATAGTAAAATGTCCAATTTTTTCTTCGTATCGATTCCAATGTGATGTATATAAACCTGATGCTGTGATAACTCATTGGAATGACTTAGATATGTACAGTACAATATCCTCACTGATAACACTGATCGAGAGCTATAGGTTTTGTACCAGACGTTTTGTAATATACATTATACACTATCAAAGACGATCAAGTTCATAGTATATGTTTGTATTTGTTAATGCACCCAAAAATGATGTTGACTGCTGCAGTATGAAGTATAACAGAATCTGACAATAAAGTATAATTTATCTAGTGTGGCCATCTTTGTTTTATGTGCAAACATTTATTGTGGTGTCAAATGGAAAAAGTAAACTATACACTGTATACCGTGGAAATTATACACTGTATACCGGGAAACTTTCACTGCAGTTTAACTTTCGCCTTTCTTGCCCTCCGTAATGAGGGAGAATTTATCATTACAGCAAATATAAGTAAACAACATAATATATATAGCAATGAAATGTGAAGGTCAAAATTAACACTGGACAAAAATTGATATCATGGGCGAAGGGCGATAGTTTGACTGGGAGGAAATTAAGTCAATTTATATGTGTGCACAGGCACTTTACAGTGTGAGAAACATATACATTCTTTTAACGCCCTGACATGAAATGCCTGTGAGATTGAGCTACAATACTTGTGCTGTCAGTCTTTAACATTTTACCTTAAACACTTATAGAAACATAAGGCCCAGAGTCATTATTAGCTCACCTGCCCGAAGGTAAATGAGGTTGGTTTGACCCCTGTGGTCAGGGGGGCGGGGCCCTGAAGGGGAACTTAGCTAAATTTGCTTTAAAAAGCCGTTCAGGACAAGTAGCGTTTTAAAGGAAAAGTTGATAGACGGACGTCGGACGCTGCGCCATGGCATAAAATTGGTGCTAATGCACTAATATTGGTGCATGAACCTTGGCCTAGACATGATACATACAGGAACCTTTGCCTAGACAGGATCCCCACATGAACCTTTGCCTAGACAGGCTCCTCACATGAACCTTTGTCTAGACAGGATCCCACATGAACCTTTGTGTAGACAGGATCCCAACATGAACCTTTGTCTAGACAGGATCCCCACATGTACCTTTGTCTAGACAGGATCCCCACATGTATCTTTGCCTAGACAGGATCCCCACAGGAACCATTGCTTAGACAAGATCCTCATAAGAACTTTTGCCTAGACAGTATCCCAGCATGAACCATTGCATTTACAGGATCCAAATATGAACCATTGCATTTACAAGATTCCCACATTACCCTTTGCCTAGAAAGGATATCCACATGAACCTTTGGCCTAGACAAAACACACATAAACCTTTAGCCTAGACAGGATCCCCATTGGAACGTTTGCCTTGACAGTATCCACACATGAATGTTTGCCTTGACAATATCCCCAAATGAACCTTTGCCTAGACGGAATCCCCACATGAACCTTTGCCTTGACAATATCCACACATGAACCTTCGCCTAGACAGGATCCCCACCTGAACTTTTGCCTTGACAGGATCCCCCACATGAACCTTTGACTTGACAATGTCCACACATGAACCTTTGCCTTGATAATATCCACACATGAATCTTTGTCCTAGACAGGCTCCCAACATGAACCTTTGCCTTGACAATATCCACACATGAACCTTTGCCTTGACAATATCCACACATGAATCTTTGTCCTAGACAGGATCCCAACATGAACCTTTGCCTTGACAGTATCCTCACATGAACCTTTGTCTAGACAGTATCCACACATGAACCTTTGCCTAGACAGGATCCTCACATGAACCTTGGCCTAGATAGGATCCCCACATGAACCTTTGCCTTGACAGTATCCTCACATGAACCTTTGTCTAAACAGGATCCCCACATGAACTTTTGCCTAGATAGGATCCCCACATGAACCTTTGCCTAGACAGGATCCCCATATGAACCCTTGCCTAGCATGAACCTTTGCCTTGACAGTATCCACACATGAACCTTTGTCTAGATAGGATCCCCACATGAACCTTTGCCTAGACACGATCCCCATATGAACCTTTGCCTAGACACGATCCCCATATGAACCTTTGCCTAGACACGATCCCCCACAGGAACCTTTGCCTTGACAGGATCCTCACATGAACCTTTGTCTAGACAGGATCCCCACATGAACCATTGTCAAGACAGGATCCCCACATGTACCTTTGTCTAGACAGGATCCCCACATGAACCTTTGTCTAGACAGGATTCCTACATGTACCTTTGTCTATACAGGATCCCCACATGTACCTTTGTCTAGACAGGATCCCCACATGTAACTTTGTCTAGACAGGATCCCCACATGAACCTTTGTCTAGACAGGATCCCCACATGAACCATTGCCTAGACAGGATCCCCCACATGAACCATTGCCTAGACAGGATCCCCACATGAACCATTGCCTAGACAGGATCCCTACATGTACCTTTGTCTAGACAGGATCCCTACATGTACCTTTGTCTAGACAGGATCCTCACATGAACCTTTGTCTAGACAGGATACCCACATGAACCATTGCCCAGACAGGATCCCCACATGAACCATTGCCTAGACAGGATTCCCACTTGTACCTTTGTCTAGACAGGATCCCTACATGTACCTTTGTCTAGACAGGATCCCTACATGTAACTTTGTCTAGACAGGATCCCCACATGTACCTTTGTCAAGACAGGATCCCTACATGTACCTTTGTCTAGACAGGATACCCACATGAACCATTGCCCAGACAGGATCCCCACATGAACCTTTGCCTAGACAGGATTCCCACTTGTACCTTTGTCAAGACAGGATCCCTACATGTACCTTTGTCTAGACAGGATCCCTACATGTAACTTTGTCTAGACAGGATCCCCACATGTACCTTTGTCAAGACAGGATCCCTACATGTAACTTTGTCTAGTCAGGATCCCCACATGAACCTTTGCCTAGACAGGATCCCAGCATGAACCATTGCATTTACAGGATCCCACATGAACCATTGCATTGACAGGATCCCCACTGGAACCATTGTCTAGACAGGATCCCACATGAACTTTTACCCAGACAGAATCCTCACATGAACCTTTGCCTAGACCGACTCCTCGCATGAACCTTTGCCCAGACAGGATCCTCACATGAACCTTTGCCCAGACAGGCTCCTCGCATGAACCTTTGCCCAGACAGGATCCTCACATGAACCTTTGCCTTGACAGGATCCCCACTGGAACCTTTGTCTAGACAGGATCCCACATGAACTTTTACCCAGACAGGATCCTCACATGAACCTTTGCCTAGACAGGATCCTCACATGAACCTTTGCCTGGACAGGATCCCACATGAACTTTTGCCTATACAGGATCCCCACTGGAACCTTTTCCTGTTCAAGATTATCACAAGAACCTTCACCTAGAAATGATATACAGACCAACCTTGTTCAAAATAGGAGGCAGCATGTTTAACAGCAAGTTTACTGAAATATTTCTGAATAGAACAGAATGATTTTCCTGAAAACACAAAATGAATGTCGTAATATCTTAATAACTGGTGACTGGATTACCATGGATCAACTGTATCTGGTCGATTAAAACTTCAATATCACTTTTATCCTGCAGTAACAATTAGACTGACATCAGAAGGACATACATTGGATGACTTCAGAACACATAGTCAAACCTGTAGTAAGAGACCACCCTGGGGATGTCACAAAGATGGTCTCTTAACACAGGTGGTCTGGTAATACAGGTTATCTCTTAATACAGGTGGTCTGGTAATACAGGGTATCTCTTAATACAGGTGGGCTGGTAATACAGGTTATCTCTTAATACAGGTGGTCTTTTTTAACACAGTCTTTTAATACAGGTTCAATTCACAAAGGAATCATTACAATGGGGAACATTAACAGTGATCTGTTAACACAGGTGGTCTCTTTATTGAGGTGGTCACACAAGCATTCTCTTACCACAGTTAGAATAATGAAGACTTATCAACGTAACTGCCATTGATCATGATCCAATGCTTTCTAAACAGAAGAAAATAACTTATAGGTGTTTACAGACACGTTTCCATAGAATAAGGAATTTCAAACATTACAGCTAACGTTAGGAATATTTGGATTCTTAAGGACCCACACAACTAAATCAGCCAATCAGCAGGTGTTTCATATGATTATAACCCCTACCTAAAAATTTAAATACATTGCCTCTGAGTAATTAGAGTGTGTAATTGTTGACATTTTTTTATCAAGAAATCTACAGATATTGAACTTTGGAAAAATGTCTAGCTTCAGTAGATTTTGATATGTGATGACTAATTTATATGGAGTCAAAAGACGGGGGGTGTTCCCCGCCTGCTTCACCAATTTGGCAAGTAAACTTCCAGTTATCAAAAACAGAAGTCTGTAGCACTCTAAACTCGACAAAAATGTCTTTTGAAGCCTTCATTAGGTATGCATCTGTGAATCTAGACAGTTTTCACTAGTGTTGAACTTCAAATATTAACGCTATTAGCTCAAAAGCTTAGTGATTACAAAAGGGAGTTTTAACTTTTCAATGTAAACTATAGGGAAAATGCAAGGAAAACAAAGTATCATTGTTGGAAAAACAAGATTACAAAACGATATTGTAGAATTTACATTTTTTTATTATCATATGGAAATTTCAAATACTCCATTCTTAATCGCAAACAGTCACCATGATATATACCGGTACCCTGTGTAATGTAGCACTCTAAGGGCTAAAGGCAAACAGTCACCATGATATATATACCAGTACTCCGTGTAATGTAGCACTCTAAGGGTTAAAGGCAAACAATCACCATGATATATATACCAGTACTCCGTGTCACCATGATATATATACCAGTACTCCGTGTCACCATGATATATATACCAGTACTCCGTGTCACCATGATATATATACCAGTACTCCGTGTCACCATGATATATATACCAGTACTCCGTGTCACCATGATATATATACCAGTACTCCGTGTCACCATGATATATATACCAGTACTCCGTGTCACCATGATATATATACCAGTACTCCGTGTCACCATGATATATATACCAGTACTCCGTGTCACCATGATATATATACCAGTACTCCGTGTCACCATGATATATATACCAGTACTCCGTGTCACCATGATATATATACCAGTACTCCGTGTCACCATGATATATATACCAGTACTCCGTGTCACCATGATATATATACCAGTACTCCGTGTCACCATGATATATATACCAGTACTCTGTGTCACCATGATATATATACCAGTACTCTGTGTCACTATGAATATATATACCAGTACTCTGTGTAATGTACCACCGGTCTCGTCATTGACAATCAACACTATCTCACCATGATATATATACCAGTACTCCGTGTAATGTACCACCGGTCTCGTCATTAACAATCAACACTATCTCTGTATGATAATAGGAAAACTTGAACAAAAAATAAATTGTTATCCAACAAATCTGTAAGCAAAGCAGGTACATAGAATTAATATATAACACAAAATAAGATACTGTTTCAAACAGTCTTTAACTTTCTACAATAAATTCTAACAAACAAACTGGAAACGAAGGGCCAGGTGAGCTAAAAATGAAATCATCTCCAAATAAGATCTCTACTCCTACAAACTGTAAACAAACTTATTTTAGCTCAAACAAATGTTAGCGTATCATCAAAACTGAACAGATTAACTCATTGATGAATTGGCACACTCGCATTATATGTAATAGAAAACAATATACAGAAATTTACCAAGGTACTAGTGCAATCCTAATTTATCTCATGATTTAGAGCACGAAAAGCGCAAAAATAGACTAACGACTAAAGCATGTATCCTGACAGTATTCTACATACTGTATACCAGGAAAGGTTTTGCCTAGCGAATCAATTTTCGCCCAGAGTTAATTTCGCCCTTCACATTTAGTGACAATGTTTATTATGCTGTTTACCTATATATGCTGTAATGATAAATTTTACCTGATTACGGAGAGCGGAAAAGGCAAATCTGAAACTGCAGCAAAACATTTCCTAGTAGACAGTATTGTAAATCATATCATTATCAAAAAGTAATGTTAATATATGAAAACTTTGAAGTCAATCATAGGCCTTTAAACAGAAGATATTTGCTTAAGCACCAATTAAGAATTAATTTAATACTATGTTCACTGTTATATGTATCTCAAGTGTATTTCCAATAAGTGCCCCTTCCACTTATATCTGAAAAAAGAAATGCTTTTCAGTTCACCACCTCTCTTCAATTCTGGTTTCCCTCTAGTAACGTAGAAAGTATGTGTATTTATCCATCAATAAGCCCATGTCTGTTAATGGTATCCCTACTTTTTAAGTTTATAGGGCAAATATGGTACATTTATTGCATTTTATCATTAGTACATGAAGTCAACTCTAGCACTTGTATAACTAAATAGTATACAGACAAATATAATAATTATATAGAACATTTTTCTACTTCAGAAAATCTATAAAAAATGTTTAACTCATTTTTACCCCTGAAATTTCATAATGAAATATTCCAATCTTTTATTTGGAAGAGTTCAAATGTGTCTTCAGGGGTTAATGAGTTAAGGTGCAATTATGTCTGTTGGTGGTTTTGAAGTTAAAGCAATTTATACCATATACCGATTACCGGGTAAATGTCTTTATCTTACAATATTAGATGACACATCTTTCCTACATCCTCATTGATCAGATAGCATAACTGAGTGAAGGTGAACTGTGATATTGACTCTGTGTTACTTTTTTTAGAAACAGCAGGTTAATATTCACTTTTATGATGTCGTTTTAATTTCTTGGGTTTTATTGTTTCGAAAGAAAAATAATTGTTTCTGCAAAAATTTAGAACCATTAAAAAAATACCATTTACAAGTACTATGTAATTTGATGCCTGAAAGCCTGCTTGAGGCAATTTCACAGAATTATTTTAACATAAAAATAGCCATCATTCTTCTATTAATTACAATTTGTATATTACAATAATAAGTTTTACATATAAATGTACACAATGTTTTTCCTATTAAGAAAATCTTACAATGTTATTTTCAAAATACACAATATATTTAGTTAAATATGATTAAAACTGTTTTCCTATATGATCATACTGTATTCTAGTTTAATATATAATTAAGGATTACATAATTATATGCTACATTTACCTTATTATAACATTTTGATCGCCATTTTAAGAGTTCCTCCCTGCTAACAATATTTGTTTGTTTGTGTGTTACGTCCTATTAACAGGGAAATGGCAACAACTGGTTCACCCATTGTCAGTATAATGTGACCAAGCGGAATGCTGTGCTGGGTGCCTTCGGCATGGTATTTCAGTGAGGTACCACTATAAAGTCGGCATCAGATCTGCGCTATCACAAGGAGGCAAGCACAGCAACATACCCCGTCTCCAGCATTCATACACACTTGTACGCTTACACAACACACATAGATGCACGTCCTTAATTACCTTAGCTGTTAATAGGACGTTAAACAATATAAAACCAAACCAAACCAAACCTATTAACAGCTATGGTCAATTAAGGATGTGCCAGGCTTGGGTGGTGGAGGAAAGGTGGAGTACCCAGAGGAAAATTAAACCAGTCTTGTGGCCAGTACTAAGTGACTGCCCCATGTAGGCCTGAAACTGCAACCCAATGGTGGGGGTTAGTGATTGTAGATGGTCATGACACCTCAACCACCCGGCCACTGCGACCCAGTGGTAGGGGCTAGTGATTGTAGATGGTCATGACACCTCAACCACCCGGCCACTGCGGCCCCATATACTAGCAATGTAAACCTTCTTTTATAAGTGGTTATCAATGCATTCCATTGGTAACACTTGGAAAATTCTCAATGATATCCAAAATTATACTAAGTCAAATGACTAATATATAATGATAATCATCCCTTCATGTTCAGATAAACTAAAAACAACATTGATCACATGCATGACTTATAATATCCATCCAATATATCATCACCTTAGTCATATTTATAAATAGACTCAAGTTTGGAGTTCTGCCCTTTCTTTTGAAAGGTGTTTTTTTTGGTGGGGGAATGGAAAGGGGGATGATCAAGGCTGACCATGAAAAATTTACATTATTATTCAAACCTTTCCTGAATATCAAATCTTTCTCAGCGTCAGATACCCACAGCTGATTTCACTTCATTACTCAATCATCTGATTAGTGAATATGGAAGCTAAATCAGCCCTGAGTAACCAACGATGCTCTTTCCCAAAGTCATAAATTAAAATTCATGTTAGAAATGATAACATTTTGTCATTTAATTTCCCAATAAACCAAAACAGCAAGGTACCAAAATATTCCGTAATTGCTTCAATTTTTGTCCAATGCAAGTAGATCTTACTCAAATTACCTATTGCCAGTATTGGAGAGAAAATGCCTTTTTGGTGGAGAAAAAATATGGAAGAAATGAGGTGCGTAGAAATGGCAAAGAGGTATTTTACATGGAGACTGTACGAAGGCATCGAAAGGCGTTGACATGGAGACCAAATTGTTAATCTTTTTTTGGTTCATTTCATCTTTTTTTTTTTAAAGCTCTGTTAGATTTCGTTTTATTTTCAGAAATGATTTATCAACGCTAGTGTAATGCCAGAAAATAATGTTTCCAATACATATGTTAAGCTTTTTGTGAGTGGTGCAAGGATCCTTAAATGCTGACATTGTATCTACACATCATCATAGAACATGGCACATGCATATAACATGTTGATACTAAAACCTTTAATCTAGCTATGGCTAATGTTTAAACCATTAAGGCAGGTCGTATGACGACTGTAATCTTGAACGTGTCCCTTTTGTCACCGATCTTGTAAAGCGGTTTGTCTCCATGGAGACTGGTATATGGGATGATGTCACTGATGTTGAACAGTACATGATTGTCGTCAAAAATACAGGTCTTTGTCAAGCCTCGTACAACATACTCCAGACCTTCCTCTTCCCCAATCACCATCACACTTATTTTCACCTTCCTGGTCTCTGAAGTGTTTGATGTAACCGTCAGTCTCACAGTTTTGTAAAGCACTTCATCGATTTCTCTGTTCTCAAGCATACCAATCATCATGCACTTTTTGAAGGTGACACCCTTTGGGTAAAGGTCAATGTGCCAGTCCCAGTAACAACTATCGTCTTCCTCACATCCTGTGACTGGGGTTGAGAAAAATGCCCCCAAGACATCACCAGGAGTTATCTTCGCTACCTCTGGCACAACCATTTCTGTGCACCAGGAATCGCAGGTGTATATGCGAGGAAGATCATATCTGGCTGCAGCACTCCACTGAGTTGACAGGGTTCTTGATGGAGAAATGTTAAGGAGTTCAGCACTTTGGTTGTTTGATGGTAAACTAGAAAAATCACCCGTAACATTTCTACTGGTTGACGGAATTTTAGCACTATGATGATTATGAACTGATCCAAGTTGATGATCAGAACAGGTCAATCTGTCTTTGCTGCCGTCAAGAGGACTTTCTGTTGAAATCTCTCCAACAGATCTTCCTTCACATTGTAAAAAGTTACTGTATGATGATGATGATGAGGACGAGGACAATGATGATGTGCTGCTATTGGTAGGATTAGTATTAATATTTGTTTTGTTCTGATGAGCAAGATTTCTTTGAGCGATATGGACTTGTAAAGCTGCCTTTATCGGAGATGCTAGTATATGGGGGAAGTTCTCCACCAAACCGTCGTCTTGTAGCGACTGGAGTTCACTGTAGGTCATGAGAGTGAATCGAGTGTGTTTTCCTATAGTCCTCACAACAAACTGTACCGCGGAACTAACAGACTTTGCAGATTCACTCGAATCCTTGATGACAAGTTTCTTCATAACCCACTTTTTAATAGCTTGATACAATGATAACTCACTTTTTACAACAACGTCTGGGGATTGGAAGAAATGTACAAGGATTTCCGCTGAAATGGACAAGAAGTCGTCGGTTTGGATGACAAATTGGAAGTTCCAAACAATATATTCTTCGCACACACGCTCCAACTGTTTGTGTCCACACATAGTGGCATATGTGTACCAGGATAAAACCCGACTCGTGTGTTTCGTCGCCACACAATGCGAACACATGTAATCGATACAAAGGGACGTAAGGTCACCAATGTTGTATTTGTCTGCCAGAGACAGGATTGGCAAGACGGTCAAATGACTCATGTGTATTCGGCCGGTGTATAGGTAATGTAAAAAATCTCCAAACACCTCAACACACTCTGGATCCTCTTGTAACACGATCTGGTCCTTGTATGACTCCGGCCATGTTGGACTGGTCAGCATCGTTTTGAGCACATCACTGGAGATGCTCAAGATGAGTTTGTGGGTGTGGAACACCTTATCTCCAACCACCAGCTGGAGGTCACTCATCTCTGGGTCACAATACAGGGTACTCAACTTCTGTATGGTGGAGTGCGAGTTGTCCATCTGTTGGCCGTACCCCCAGCACGAATTGATTGGACGGTAGGAGTCGCAACCTGACATAATTTTGTCTCAGCTGCTAGACGTCTAAGTTGCATCAATATTCAATATGGCATCTTTTTATGTAACATCTGAAATGAGATGAAAAAATGTTGCTAGTCAATTTATTTGAAATAATGTTACGTATACATTTCCAGCAAAGATGATGAGTTTTCAAGAAATGTCAGTGAAAAAAATCTATCGAAAAATGACCAAAGATTTCATGGAATTTGGTGAAAAAAGGAACTGTTCAAGTTATGAAGTTGTTTTCAGTATCTTTAATTCACCTTCAGCTGTCTCCGAATTGGCAGGTGCTCTTATAATTAAAGCCCCTTGTTTGCTGGGGGGGGGGCTATTCCCAAAAGAGGAAAGTTCTCCCCTTTTTTGAATACTCTGACTTGGGGAGTGGGGGATCTAGTATGAATCGAGCATACTAAAGCAATTTACATTTCCCCTACCGGCACACTGTAATGATTTATAAAAAAAGGTGCCCTTTGGTGTTAATTTTGGAAAATGAAAAGTGACCTTGACCTTGACCCAACAACCCTGACCCTCAAACTTGTCCGAGATATTATGGTTCTTTATAATTGTGTGAAGTTTGTTCCAAAATCCGTCAAGAAATAAAGCCGCTAGAGTGCTGACAAGGATTTTCTAAAAATAGTAACAGTGACCTTGACCCTACAATACTGAAACTCAAACTTGTCCAGATATTATGATCCTTTGTATTTGTGTGAAGTTTGATCAAAATCCCTCAAGGAATGAAGCTGCTAGAGCGCTGACAATCATTGGTGTTACATACTTACGTACACAGACGGACGGAGAGGCAAACTTTAGTCCCCCCCCCCTCCCCCCCCAGTTTCACTGGTAGGGAACTTATAACTGGCTCATAATAATCTCCTTTACAAATACAATGTAGTTTTTAATAGGATGGAGATATTCAGAATGGCATGTCAACATTCTCTCTTTCCACAGGCAGAATTAAAGTTATTTATTTATCTCTGCCAAAGAAACTGCATTGATAAGAATGCCAACACAACAACACAAATCATACCTGTAGGGAACAGTGTTTTTTCTATAATAGAGTAGATTTGGTTTGTACATGTACTTTATAAGATTGATATAGATGTACTCTATATCAGTGTCCATTACAGTACCTATCCTATTAAATCTCATGATTTTTTTAGTAATTGGTCAATTTGTAGCATAACTGTATATGATATGGCCCATAAAGGTCGAGGAAATGATACATATTGTTGGTTATTTTACACTTTTACATCAGTACATAGTGCAGAGATACGTCTAACAGATATTTATTTTACGGTACTCATAGCTACCTTTATTAATAAAACTTCAGATTTAGTCAAACCAGAAAAATATTAAAGTGATGTGTTATTTATAGACACAAATTTTGCCCCTGTCGCAGGAATCTGTTTAGTAATATATGTGGTTTGAAAAGATTTTGTTGACATTTTATCATTGCAGTGGCATGGATGCATGATCCTTTCCAACTGTGTATGGAAACCATGTGGGCATGCTCCGGTGTACAATGCCTTTTAAAAACTATCTCTTGCGTGTATAGCATGAACTTTATGACATATCACTCTAACACTAATTTTTTCATTATTTTTTAGTGCTGTATGTGTTTTGTGCATGCTGTGATATATATATATGTATATATTGTTGTTTGCTTGCTAACAAGCTTAAGTAGTACTCTGACTTGTATTGTTCAGTCCCTTAAGCCGTTTTAATTTTCATTCAACATGCATGCCGAGATATTTCGTTATTGTTTGTAATTTTCTATGCATTTTATTCATGTTTTGTCATAAAAATAGCTCTACACAGCTCATGTTTACTGTTTAATGTGGTCAACTTAAAATTAATCTTCTTGTATCTTGTACAGTAAAACATTAAGTAAATTGTACACCCCTTGGTGACAATTTTTACGAAGATACATGTAAATGCACTCAGCTAGAGGATGGTCTGACTATATCAGTCTGTCCTAGCATTTAAGGTTATTTTACGCCTAGAAAACCCCTCTTATAGGTAACAAATTACCTTACTGAATACACTTAATATGATTTAACAATTACAACCAGGACCTGATCATTTATCAGACACAGTATTCACTCTTTTGTATAATTTTTTAGCCCAAATTTCCAGTGTCCATAAGACTTTTTTTGACAGTTCGGCAAACACACACACAAACACATTTATTTTGTTCACTAATACACACTGTTATTCAGCCCCGCATGCTACAGAGCGGGAGGTGCAGACCGGGAGTCCGTACCAGTAGAATTAGTAGAAGTGTCAGCAGTAGTCGAAGACTTATGGTATGACGTCGACAACGATGAGTTAACAGTGAGTAATACACATCTATAAATCTACATTCACTACAAGATGGTTGGGTTCCTTTTGATGAGCATACACATTCAATCCACCCCTTTTAAGTCTACTCCTACAGTGTTAGAGGTTTCATTTACACAGCGAGATACTTTTGACATGCGCTGTGTCGCAGTTGCCAAAATCATATCCGATAGAAAAAAGGCTGACCAGCGGCCTCTTATGTTATAGGAGTACTTTTAAGTCCATCTTTCGGTCATCTGCAGTGTCTGAATTCTTATATTTGAGAAACTTCCACATTTTTTCTGATGATCTATTTGCACCTGTCTTTTCTCCAATAGACCATGTTAATTGGAGTCTTTATCAAATGGTTATATTTGCCTTTACACGGTCGACTGCCTAGGGTGATTGTGTATTCTAATAGATATGGGACACCTGCTTAAGAAGCCTAATTTGTAAACAGCTGCAACCTGTTGATGTGTGGGGAGAGGGGGCGTGCCCCTGGTCAGCAAAATAAAGTGAACAGGAATTTGGGTCAAAGCCATGTCAATCAAATATGTAAACACTTCTAGATAGCAATCGTAGTTACCAGTGTTGCGCCTTAATCTTTCTGGAATCACGATATTAAGTATTGCAGAAGACTCCATGTTATACTCTCAAATGATCGAGTCGCGTCCATAACATCTATAAACATAAACGCTTTTCGCTTTCGACACTTAAGGTTGTTTGAAAGTGGTTATTTGTATGCGACTAGGTAATTGCGGTTACCAAATAGCCCGGATGTAACTCGCACCTTGCTCTCGCGATATTTCCCAGGATTCAGTCCCAACGGCTGCAAACCACGATGGCCGAACTTTCCACTCCGAGTCGACACGAAAAGAGCTTGGGACTCCTTACGACAAAGTTTGTTTCACTACTGCAAGAAGCCAAAGATGGAGTCCTCGATCTGAAAGTGGTATGTTGCTCATTGAATGCTTCATTGCATGCTTTACTAATGCGAAAATAAGCTCGAAGTGGGCACCCCTCAGAAAGCATGTAACCATGTTTGTTTATGCTTTTGTTCGTTATTCGTTCGGAGCTGTCAGCATTGTTTAACTGCTTCCTAATGACCAAATTACATAAATATAGCAGTGCACAAATATTAGGAGTGATTCCTACGGATCATAGAAAGCTTGTGTCCAGTGGATGCATTCAAAAAATTGTACAAACACACTTTACATGTCATTGAATAAAAGGAATGCCGGGTCATGACCTCTTTAATATTACAATTTTTATATACGATATTTTCAAATTTTAATTGCGATACTTCGCTATAGTTGAATTATACTTATATTTATACATTTTTGCTAAAGGAAATTTTTGTATGTTGAAACGGTTGAAATGAAACTGCATTACATTTTACTATTTATAAATTAATATTACACTTTCGATAGCGATTTCCTGTCACAACCTCCCCCCCCCCCTTACCTTAACATGTTTTACTGCCAGTTCTTTGCTAGTTATTTTGTTGTATGTTGTTAACATTTTAACCTGTTACTTAAAGTTTAATATATTCCTATTGTGAACATCTATTGTTGTTGTTTGGCCCTAAACAACATTTCAGTCGTTTCAGTGCAGAATTAATTTGATAACAATATTATATATTGCGTATTTGGAGCAAAATCAAATTGCCCTTCCTACATAAACTTGATAATTTAAGGACATTTTACGCAGTTTTTAACTCAATGATATTCTACTTGCCAGAGAAAAATATCATAATAACCAATATATCATAATAACCCATCAAGCTGTTTTCGATCATTTTTATGTTGTCTGAACAGGAAGTGAGATGCCCTATATTAATCAGGTGTAGATTGATGCAGAAACATGGAAAAATATAAATACAAAAAGATAAATTAGTAATTAAAATAATTTGTTCATTGTTATATAAGCGTGTTGGAAAAATTCAGGAAGTTTTTGTTTTGTCATCGCAATGATCAGTATGTAAATTCTGCTTTCACTTTCAAATAACTTTCAAAAAACAAGCATATTCTTAAGAACTATCTTTATACTACATCCTACACCTGAAGCTAACGATATCGTAATGTTACAGTCAATAGGATGAAAGAAGTGATATAAATAGTCATGATTTTGCAACGAGAGGTTGTGTAACATTTTGTCACGTAAGCGTGAAAACATGTTAACATGCTATGTCAATTACGATCACATGACAATCACATGCCTTGCGAGTCATGCAGTGAAATCAACTTGCAAAGAAACAATAACAATTAAAAACACATATTCCCTTTTTAACAATAATCAAATATTGTATTCAACGAAAATGGTGTAAATTGTAAATAAAGCAGCCGTCGTAAGTTGCTAACGACAAAAATGTAAATTTTGGATCGATTTACGGCACCATGCTGTCAGGGCAGTATGTCCTGATTTTGACAATTTTTCAATAAGATTCGGGGAAATCAACGTCTAATGCAATAAAGAATATATTGCTTAAATTATTAAAAACACTGGTCTTCCTTTTGAAGTAATATTTTCATTGAAATCGGCATGATGTTCTCACATGACATGTCAAGGTAACCGTGAAAATTTGTGAAAGGCATGCTCGTTTTCTTATCAGAGTTTGTGTTCAGTAGGCCTAATCATTTTAATTTGATACACAGTCCTACAGTGTATTTTAGATAGCAATTAACTGCACGCATGTTTTGTTAAAACAAAACTGTGTGACCACCAAGCGATGGTCGACCTATTGTTTTCCGCTGACTGCGGTGAAGCTAGGTGTGAAAAAAATTACACTAACAACTTAACTGAATTTTTAATTCACAGCAGAAAAAATATCATATTACGCGGGGTTCTACCTTTGACCTTATCACAATAAACAATATTTTTTTGCTTAGTTAGGAAAACAATCACAGTGAAATGGAAATAAAATACCACATATAGATCTATTTAAAATGGGGTTCGGAAAACATCATAAAAAGGTGTGGCAAGAAACATAACAAATTTATACCGAAGCGTGCGACCGTTGATTGGAGTGAAAAACATTTCCAGTGGCTGATGTCGCGGTCCAGATTGTTGGTCAAACTGATGGTCAAAACTTATTGTACTTGAAATGTTCGTCAAGCTCCAAACACAAGAAGGACAACGTTTTCACAAAGGGCTGCTCTAATATATTAAAAACGTGCCCTTATCCGACACGAACAATCAGAGGACCACTTGTCTGCTATTGAAAGTATAACTAAAGAAACTTCAATTAAAAAGAGATAAACACTTCGTGAAACAGTCACAACATTAATGGAAGACATCCACAATGATGAAGTTACTGAGAGTAAAACAGATGACTGCCAATTTTGTATTTAGGACAATTTACTACGCAGCGAAAGAGATGAGACCAAGTGACAAATAGCGATTGTTGTTTTAAAAGCGCCATGATTCAATTCACGCTCATATAAGCGTTTGTAACAGGAGGCATTGTGTACTTTGCAAGCGACTCGGTGACTCACTGTACAAGCGTATTATAATCTGCTAAATTGGACCCGGAGACTGAAGCAATGTTCCGGATTTTGTGTGCACGCATTAAGCAAGTTCTTTTTTTCTTTTGCATAATTTGTGAATTATCGTGCATGAATATGTATTCACGCAAGCTATCTGGAGCACTGGTTTATAGGAAACACCTTAGCATATACCTGAAGCATGTATGTGGAATTCAAAATGTCAATTATTTTTCACTTAAATCAGATTTTGATTTAGCATCATAATATTTCTGTTTCAGGCTGCTGATACTCTTGCTGTGCGACAGAAGAGAAGAATCTATGACATAACTAATGTATTGGAAGGAATTGGTTTGATAGAGAAAAAATCTAAAAACAGTATACAGTGGAAGTAAGTGTTCCGAATTTGATGTTATCTATTTGAGTTGTACTTAAGAATAGTAGCAGTTTCATTTGCATTTTCAGCTCTTAGTTAATACATGTATTCATGAGCTTTCATCAAGAATAGGCAGCAGGCATGCCTATAACTGGTGCAGTATTGGTTTTGGCCTATCCAAATTGTAGTTTTCTCATGCGAATTTTATGTAAATTGACATAGATTATTTGGTTTAAAATGTAATTTGAGCAGGCATGTTCTGATAAATATCTGAAACATTTACTGTAATTTATATCTTTAACAAATTTAATTGAATCAAATTTTTTTGTTGAATTAAAAAGATATTTGAGTTATATGAATTGAAAAACTGTTTTTTTTTCAGAGGATCATGTCCGGGATATCCGACAGTAGATGGTGTTCCAAATACTCCAGAGAGGTGGGTATCTGGATTCCTTCACACTATGATTGAATCTATTTTCTTAAAAAAAAACAATTATTCTTTTTGATGTTTAATCCAGTTAGTTTTATCCAAAAATGTCTGTCAATAATTACACCATCAATAAAAGAACAGTATTATCTCCAGTGGCATTGACAGAGTGATATAGGCAGGATATAAAAATAAAATTGGGGGTGGGGGTGTACATAATTGCTCCATCTTGATAAAACATTTGAGTCATCAATAAAACTGTTATCGTTATCACTAGTTTATATCTCTTGAAAATTTGCGAAATTCTGGAATCCTTGTTTACCAGTTCAATGCATAAAGATAATATTTTCTTTTACAGAGGGTCACGTGAAATTGCAGACAGACTAGGGGTTTTAAAAGATGAAATAGCTGAGCTAGAACAGCAAGAGGCAGAATTAGACCAGCACAAGATATGGGTTCAACAGAGTATAAAGAATGTCACTGACGAAGTCACAAATACAAAGTATCCTTTGATTCCAAGTCCTGAATCTGGCAGACAGTTCTAAATCTACGTCGGAGATGAAATTCTTGGCTTGAAATTAAAACATATTCGCTAGTAAAATGCATGCTGATATTAAGAGCATGCTAGTTAAAATGTCCCTCCCTTTTAAATTTCTGCAAGTATTTGTTTTACCTTTCTGGATTAATACAATGCTGATATCATCCAAGATGTTGTCTAGAAGATATCCTTATAGTCCTTCTTATAACATTGATTGTTGTCTTTCACTGTATCTTTTCTCAGTTTCAACTATTTAGATGTTTATTCAAATTTGATGAAAAGATGCTACGTTTTGCAGGGAAGTTTCAAATAAATGTTTTAGCCATTGAGAAATCTGTTATAGTGGATGAAAATTTTGATCTCTTGCAATATTATTTTAGTGGTTTCAATCCCTGAAATTAAAAGAAATTGAGACTTTTCGAAGCATATTTTTGGAATTACAACTGAAAGTCATTGTTAATGTAGTGGCTTGACACACATAACATTGGGTCCTGAAACCCCTGTTAACCTAGCAAAACCTTGATACTCAAGCTTGAATATTGGTGACAACATTCTTTCCACACCACTTTTGCATTCAAGGGAGATAATCTAGCAATAAGTAATTTTTAAATGGATATTTATGAACATGATTTATATCATTTTTGCAGTGAATGCACTCATTTCAATGTGACCATGTATAATAAACCCCATTTTCATGTCAGTTTAAGATTAAATTTACTGAAATATTCCACAAAGTATTTAACTATTAGTAATATTTAAATACAGATGAATTTGAAGTTTGTGGCATCGTGACTTCACATTGATGACACCAGGCATGGCACTTTAATGATAGGTTGACATGAATTAGGTGACAGTAAAGAGTTGATAATGTTAAGGAAACCCTATTATGAATATTTGCATGAGTCTTGTTAAATGTGATTAAGGATTATTAGTCCCCAATAGGTAAAGCTTTCCAGGTTGCAGTCAGTCTGCCAGGATGTGCATCATTTTGTTGGTTTTACTTAAATTGCCAATGCTACTACCTGTTTGTTGGGAGGGTGTCATGAACTGGAAATGAGGCCTCGTCCCCAACACAGTACAGAGTTATGGCTCTTTGTTTATTTTTTATTCCAAAGTTTTTCGAGAGGTAGGGGATTATGGATTACTCACAGTACTTTGCCATGTTAAGTTTATTTACATTTCATATAAGATTTGAGAAACTTGTCCCAAAGTTTTCTATTAGCTAGACATGAACATAGCCCAACTGAAACAAAAAAGTCAAAACTCATTTCAAGAATCTTATAAAAAAAATGTAATATATTTTTAAAAACGCTAAATATATCATGGAAAGTGATACCCCTTGTGACATGGATTGCCTTAACTGCCATCAGGCTAGCTTATGTAACACATGAAGACATCTGTAAGTGTTTTAAAGGAGATACATTACTAGCTATCCAAGCCCCTTCAGGAACGCAATTGGAGGTTCCCATACCGGAAATTGTAAGTTCCAATTTTGAACAACATAATAATTAGTAAAATGAAAGTTTATATTGGAGCAATATTTTCCAATAATACTTCTTTCAATGTCATCTTCATGATGATTTGTAAATGATTTAGCAGCAAATGTATAAATTAATCTCCTTATTAAAATGTGTATGAATAAATGTCAGTCAGATGTTTCAAATCCAAATCAAAGTTTTTAAAACTTCATTGGTAAGTCAAAATAAAATGTATTTACACAATTCTAGACTTTTGTCATCGTTAATACAAACTTGAAGAGAACATATGGAAAAAAATATTTAAAGAAACGGAAAATGATTTTATGATGAATGTTATATATACATATACACCAACTAACTTCGACCACCAAAGAATGTTTTGCTGAAATCATGTTACTCACTGTTCATTGATTTCCTTTTTAGGGTCCTGGGTTTAAGAAAAACTATCAAATACATCTAAAAAGCCAGTCCGGACCAATTCATGTATTACTGGTCAACAAAGATACAGAAAACACAAGTCCTGTTGTGGTTCAAGTGCCGCCCCCGAAAGAAGACCCAGTCGCAAACCTGGTTGCTCAGAACCAAAATGTAGACCCTAACCAGTCCGCAGTCTCTGGCAAGGGAAAATCATTACAAAAGGTAAAAAAGGCTTTATATTCTATGCTTAATGTATATATCACCATCAGTGTAGACATGATCTTTATAGGCATATCTAAGGTAACAGTTCTTTTGAAAACACTTAAACCTGAAATTTAATATTTTTTGTTGTTATCAACTATCATATATACACAAGTACTTTCCTATTTTGTTGAATATTATGTAAAATTTTGATTAAGCTCACACTGACACTTAACAGTGAAATTTATATTGCAATGCAGATTAGTAATACAAAGAATCCCACATTTCCCTTTCATCTATACATTCCCAAATATTTGTTATTTGTTCTGATATTTAGGGGATAGTACGTTGTTTTGAGTGGCTATACTGGCGATTAGAACATAAAATTTGGGTTTGAACTCGAGGCCGATAGGTCAAGAGTTTAAACCAAATTTCATGTTCTAATTGCCAGTATAGACACAAAAAACAACGTACTATCCCCATTCTAACACACCTTAACAAATATACGACGCTAATATGTTTAGAAACATTGTATTTCCTTGTACAAAAGTACTTTGTGACCTGAACTGGCAACGTGTCAATCTGCAGCGGACTGACCAATCGGAAATATTTGGATTGTTCGTTAACGTCCTGTTACCAAAGTTTATACGACACATTCAGATTAATATTGAACAAGTTCTTACATTTCCATGTCAGTATGCATACCAATCGGTGCTTATCGACAAAATCGGTGATTAATTGTATAGATTTTTGAAGAGTTTTGTGTAAATGCATACGACACATGTGAAATGTTTGATTTGATTTTGGATCTAAATAGATACCTTTACACGGATGGAACGAACGTTTCAGTAATAAATGGAGGTAAGAACAAGGAATGCGTTCTTTTTACTTTTTAATTCATTCAACAAATGCATTTCATCGGTCGTTTCTGTTCTGTTTGCCTACTAGCCTTATCAGCGGGATTTCGTTATGAGGCGAGCTTGACGCCATATTGTTTTGGTTAGAAACGGGGCGTGGCTTAAGTGCGATGGGAGGAGCTAAACACGATTGACCATGATTCTATCGCAGATTAGAACATGGTCCGTATCCAATCAAAACATGCGTTGCAAACGAATCATGTTAGAATGTATAATAATGTATCAATATATATGTCCATGCGGTTTTAATTATGTCATGCATGTGGTGTATATCAATTTATCAACTAAAACAAAATGTATTGCCATTTCAGCGATCGCCTGTAAAATCCCCCCTTCGACAGTCACAGCCAGTGGTAGACGTGACTGCACCTACTACACGAATGGCAACGAGATCGTCACCACGCAAATCTGGAATAGGACAACCTATAGGTACACTTGGTAAGGCCAAAAAGAAATATATGTTTCAGTTACCCTGACCAACCCTAGATTTACCTCCTACCCTAACTATTTTATCTCACTCCAACATTCTCCATGCAGTGTTGGGATAACATGTTCTTCAGATGCAAACAAATTGATGGATGAACAAACAAGACAACTATGTATATACCCACTTTACTTCATAGGCAGGTATCAAAAGCAAATATGAAGCCCATATTGTTATTTAAAAGACCTGAATATGTGTTTGGTGATTTTTGTAATTCTAAACCCATTCACCTTTGAGGACACATTTTAACTCTTCTACTTCAAAGGTTGAAATAGATTATTATGAAATTTCAGGGGGTGAATGAGTTAAATTAGCTTCCCAACCCTCAAAGAATAAAATGAAAATAAAATCTCAACCGCCATACCCTAATTTCTTCAGTCATGTTGCCTGAAACATAATAAAAAATTGGGGCCTAATTGTGAAATTCAGAACAAGGAAAAGAACCGAATATTGGAGACACCAAAGCTAAAGAAAATCATTGCAGGTCCTGTAACAGTGTTTCATAACCTCATTAATAAATTTTAACTTAAGTCAAGATCTGTTTTGTAAGTAGATCCAATAAGTCATGATAGGCCAGTAAATGCCTAAAAAATGTAACCACCTGCCAAACAAATGCTGTCTTGCAAATAAAATGGGTCTACTTTTTAGTGGCCACCTCCTGCAAAGCATATGGTCTCTCATGAATCATGTGAATCAACTACAAAGTGTGTGGTAAAAGACCTCCCTTGGGAGTCAGTATGTAGTCCCGTAACACAGCTGTAGTTAGGAGCAGGCTTTACTGTATTTGAGGATTTTATCCAAACCTCTGAAAGAAAAGACATAGAAAAGACAAAAGCAAGATGAAAATTCTCAAAAAATCTTTTTCTACAAATCTGTATGAAAACATTTACATTTCAGCTTCCACATCTGCGGCAGTACTACAGGCACCATCCATGGACACGCCCCCTAGTGATATCCTCCTCGACCCTTACCGCTCAGACCTAGGTAAACACACTTTCGGTAAGAATACAGTGGTCTTGTTTTATTATATCTTCTAGATCTCCATATCTTAATCACATGATGGAGGGAAATTGTCAGTAATTTGTGGGATAGTTTAATGCATGGCAGGGGTGTACAGTTCCACTAGCCCAAGTTCAGGGCTAGTTATTTAAGATTGACCTGCAGGCTGGTATTATTGATATGAAAATGTACATCCCTGAGTCCCTGATTATGAATATATGTATAACCCCTGTTTATGTTAATATGAAGATAAATGTGAAGACATGTTTTGATATTTTAAAGTTTATACTGAAGGAATGCACTCATATGTCAGAAAGAGTAACTGATCTCTTTCTGAAGATTCTATCTGCTATCAGAAGAAAAATAGGCTGTAACTCAAGTAGGGAGTTATGTGTTGAAAACAACATTTGAAGGACTGCATAGATAAAAATGAAGTTTCTGTTTGAACAGGTGATATGGAAGGTGACCTGATAGAGGAGCTGATGTCTTCTGAAGGTGAGTTCCTGGAGCTGTGATTTCACCAACAATTACAAACTATTTGTGATAAGCTAAATCTGGGCTAGCTGATTTTCTACAAACATAATATTATTAAATTTTTCCAATGAAAAATAGTTCTTTGGGGGGGGGGACTTAACTCAGATGTATTACTTTACATGATCAGCCGACTTATGTGACTACTGTAGAAAATGACAAGTATCAAAGTATGTTAAACATAACAAGTCTAAATGAATGATTGAACATGGCTGAATGTCTAACATATATCTTCCTCATGCATTACTTGATAATGAAATTACTTGCTGTGTCCTAGAAACTCTGTTGATGAAATTCAATATTTGTAGCCAACAACTTGGAGAAGAGTTTCAATGATATTAAGACTGGGTGTTTATTTTTTCAGCCTTTGCACCACTGTTGAGGTTAAGCCCGCCCCCAAGTGATCGAGATTACTACTTCAACCTTGACGACAGTGAAGGAGCGTGTGACCTTTTTGATGTGCCCTTGTTAACAATGTGATAGAGCTTGAGATACCATCTACCTCATTGTGCCTTCGTTGTTTAAACAGACAATACGATGGTCTGACGGGGTTGTCCAGCAAACCTGGGTCATTTCTACACACAAAACTGCCTTGTGTTTCAATACACAGAAGGTAGCTTGTCTTTGTTGGTCAAACCAGTCTCATGTGAAATGGCTAGGAAAACAACCCCGGTAAACTTTGGCACACCTTGGCCCTATAAGATGTGGGGACACTGGCCTTGTAGTGATAAATTAGTTTTGACACACGGCCCTAAACAATGAGGTATGTAGTACCACATTACGGAAACTTTAGTGCTAGAACCTGTTACACTACCAGAGAAGTGATCACTAACTGAACTACTGCCAATTATCGTCATCACTTTCATCGCTCACCTGGCTACTTGTATTAGCAACGAATCTCCTGCAGACCAATAACAACACTCGGCTGGGAAAAATCAGTTTATCAACTGTCATGCTGATTTAGATATTCATTGGAGTATTCCTAAGGTTATTGTAGAGAAGAGAACCTGTTGGCTCTATTTATCTGCAAAATGCAATACTCTAATTAAAATCTGAACAAAAATTAAGACTTTTGGGTTTGGAAAGAACTGTGTTTGGTGTAGTCCAGAAAATAATTCTTTCAAATCAAATATGCCATCGAAAAATGTATTTCTTCATTTTCATTACCATTGTCGCCTAACAAAAAGAGATTAGTCTTCACCTTGCCCAAAAAATTAACTGCTGTATGTACAGCTATGTTCAGGAACAAATAGTATTGCAGACACATAGGGCAATATTTATAGTCTCCTATGTCAAATTTAGAATTGGTTTCATATATTAATTTTATGTTGGTTAACAGTTTACAGTTACTGACTTTTTCAATCTATGGCTGATCCTCTGCCATATTGCAATTGAAGTGATGTTAACCTCTTTAAAAGTAACTGGGCTGCGATGTTTACCTCTCCTGCAGGTATTCAGCAGTCAATGTTTTCTCTGAATGTTTACAGTATCTTCAAATGAGTTTTAAGCCGATCACAGGGAAGCAAACTTATTTAATTTCTGTTGACAAATGTACACCAGCAAGCCAAGAATAAATCTGACCCCGTAATCAGGATAGGACTTCATCCAGTTGTTGATGATATCAAAGACTTGTGGCTAGTTTATAATAGTGAAAAAGGGAAAGATTGATAATGAATATCAACTTATTTTATACAAGCGTATAAGTAACGTATAAGTATACAGTGGTGATATTTTTTGTTTTCTCTTGGATGAAGCAAATATTTGTTAAGGAAGTACTCAGATGAATGCATGTATGTAAATCATCATATATGGACATGTGAGAGAGGTCCTGTGTCTAATTTGACAGCTTGGTGGCCTATACTATTAATACATAAATAATTGAAGAGGATAATAGTTTTAAATGACACTGATGTGCTCTATTTGGAACCGATATTTGTGAATCATGCCAATCTGTTGAACCATTTCCTTATATTTACAAACATGTATGATTTTCCAATGACATTTTCTGCAGCTGATGTTTTTGGCTTGAAGGTTAGGATTGTATATATCAAAATGAATGTCTTTAACCTTTCATCAAAGAGCCTGCAGTTGATGGTGGCGTTTTTAAATGGCAAAGATTTATTTGAAAATGTATCTGTGTTACTATTAAATAACTCCAATATTATTTTCACTATAGTGATGTATCTTTAACTCATTCACCCCTAAGGTTTTATAATGATATTCCTTTGAACTGAAAGAGTTCAGATGTGTCTTCAGGGGTGAATGAATTAATGAAATGACAAAATACACTAGATACTGTAATTCATCCAGTTTTCATGAATGTTTAATATGTAAAATAAAATTGCTTGAACTCATTCACCCCTGAAGACCCATTTGAACTCTTCCAATTCAAATATTTGAATAGTTCATTATGAAACTTCAGGGGATAATGAGTTTAATAGCTTGAATATTTGGAAGGATTTTCATTCATAAAATAAACCGAAACAGAAATACATTGATTGGTAAAAATGTGTGGGAATAAATGTTGGTCACCTCACACACTTCATGAGAAAATATTTATCTCACTAAAAGAAAGTGTTTTACAGTAGTATCTAGAGCCCTGTTTTTTATGAATAATTAAACTGTGATATTTTCCTTGTATTAAATGCTCTTTGCTTCAAGTTTGTATTCTTGTAAAACATTGTTTCTTTTTATAAAATTGATCATGATCCATTCATAAGAGATTTTTAACTTTGAGGAAATGTTTTTGTTAAGATTTCATTGTAAAATTGAAAATTGAAAATTCAAACTTTTAATTTATTTACACTGCTATTTTTTTTCTTTCTTTTGTCATTTGTTTAGAAAGTGCAAAAATTCAATACTTTTTTAGGAAATGAGTTAAAAAAAAAAAGGAAATCTTTCTTCTCCATCAAACATTGGAGTAAAATAAATAAATATGATTTTGTTCAACATAGAAAAGTTAGTTATAAGTAAACGAAAATGTATATACATCTTGTTTATGTACTGATCATATATATGTGACCAGGAAATGATGATAATGTTTGTACCTGTATCTGTTGCGTAGTTAGATTAGATTTGTATGTTTGTAGAAAATATTGAACTTCTTTTTTGAATAGTTTGCCATAAACATTGTCTTTGATGCACTTTCTCCTAGTTAGTTAAGCCCATACTGAGGATGGTATTCTCAACTCTTTCACCCCTAGGTTTCTTGAGTGGGCTCTACCATAAATTCATATGGACTAGTCCATTATGGTTTACAGTGGTGAAAGGGTTAATATTATCAACATTTTCAATGTAAGTTAGTGGATATTTGTTCTTTTCTGTTTTTGATCTACAATGTTCTCTGTCTTTATTTTAAGAAGAACTAAAGTGTACACACTATCTACACTAGGGCCAAAACAAATACATGTATATGTGTTTCATATTTTCCTACCTACATGGAAAAAATCACTGCACCTGAAACATTTTATAGACAAAATTTAGAAATTGGATTTAAGTGGATCCATTTAATAATAATCCACTGATAATAATCGCTGAAGTGCATTCCAAGTAAACACTATATTGCTTGTTAAAATGTTTGGTGTTTTTTTTTCATTTTACATGTATGATATCACTTACCTACGGTCTGATAAAGACTTAAAACATTTTGGGGGAGAGAAAAAAATGTTTTTACCAGCTAGCTATGTGTACTCAAAATCCTAATGGAATAGGCAACATGCTTATGATTTTATTTGGCCTAAGTTCAATGTACATGTATATATACCCTAGCACTATGTATACATGTCTAGTATGACATACAGGCAAAATTCAAGGTTTCCACTTTCCATAGGTTATAAAAGACTTAAATATATTTCTTACTATGATATAATATGATTTTAATCATTCAATTGTTGAAAAAAACATAAGCTGTCATAATTTTGTTCAAGATTCCTTGTATAATCAAAAGTGTACATGGTCATGCCATATTTTGTATGCAATGTATATTTCATCTACAGCACATCATCTCCGTGTTCCACTTATACCGGTAGTCCTAATTGTTGTGGAAATGGAGGACTATAACACGGCATTTATAATGTCTTACGGTGCTATCATCAGATTCCTCAACTTATTCATCCCTGAAGACACATTTCAACTCTTCCATTTCAATGGTTGGAATAGTTTATTATGAAATTTCAGGGGTGAATGAGTTAAATATTCATTAGGGGGGAATTAAGTGGTGAAAGGTCCACAACATTTCATTTCAGAAAATTATGCCAAAGGCTTGCATTGTTTATAAATCCTAAGAAGCAAAGAATACTACATAATTCACTCTGAAGTTTTCATTAGATCATGCACATTTGGAAATCTGATTTATCATGTTAAGTTCCATTTGCTGATCAACTATTCATTATGTGCCATATAATCAAACTGAACATATCCTTGTGGTTCTTAACTTGCTACCACAAGTTTTATATCTTACCACAAGTTTATAGCTCACAGAAAGTTTAACGTTACTCTGTGGTGTGGTTGCCGTAAAAAAAAATGGTTAATATTCCAGACCTTTTTTTGTAGGATTTGGGGTTGGAGATTGGGTGGGGTAATGCCATATTGAGCATAGAAAATATCTCAAATGGATGATGAAGATTATTTGAGTTACCGAATCTGTATCAGTACCTAAAAACTTATCAGCTAATAGAGATTGTGTTTGGGGATACATTGTTACAATAATTCTTTGTTGTCCATATAAATGGTAAAAGTTGATATTTTATGTGATAAAATAACGATTTATAAATAGTATTTGTATTACTGTCTTACCCTTTTACCACTGTAGACCATAATAGACTCATCCAGAGCAATGCATGGGAGAGTCTACTAAAGTTGCATAGGGGTGAAAGGGTTGAGGGTTACTTGGCTGTTTTGGTAGTGGTTAAAAGGTTGGACCAAGGTCATTGAGTTTTGTAGTGAAGCAATATATACAGTGTGCTGCTGTGTTAGATACACACACAAATGTGTTCAAGGACATTTCTCATATACACTGCTCTGTGTTTTATGTACCAAAAGTCTGATATTTAGGGGGAAACAAATGTTATTATTACCTGGAAGCCTGATCATCTCATCTGTCATTTTACAGAGTAAAACCTGGGTACAAATTGGTGTTCGGTACCAAACCAACAATTTATTTATTTTTTCTGAAGAGAAAACAATTATCAGTTACCATTGTATGGGGGTATTCTCGCAGGCATACGCTACCTTAGAGGTTTTATCTGTAATTTGTGTTGGAGAATTGGAGTTGTTTCCATTAGGTGTGGTATCTAATTTTTAGCTCACCTGGCCCTTATGGTCTACCATTATTTGGACTTCAAATTATTATCAGTGTCAAATACCTCAGATTTATGAAGAATCTTTGAAGTATTGTGATCACTACAAACATGAAGATATACCTTTCAAATACGTCAAACATTTCATTAATTATTTCAAAATATCAGATACATGAACATTTTTTGAAAGGTTTCGAGATTTGTGTCGCAAAAAGGTAGCATATACCCTTAACATTTATGGGATACAGTCCAAAATTCAACAAACTTTTATTGAAGACATTGCTATTTCCTGTTACCACATTAAGGTGAAAGATGTAAATTATCAACACTTTGTCCCTATTTCCAGAATCATTTTTGGTTTCTGTTGGTATACAAGAAGATCCTGTGTCAAAGAGTCAGAAGAAAATTTTGCTTGAAACACGAAAATTCCTTTGGTGTTCATGATAGTTTAGAGGATTTATATTTACCATTTGATACATTCTGTATTCAGCTCAATGTATATTGAGATTATAAACTTGTGTCACAAAAAAATACAGGTACTGGTATGGATTGAGTTCTTTGTGTAACATACAGTAGTTGTGATGAATTCAAACTATTCACTTATGAAAACCCAAAAAATAAAATTGGGAAAGTATAGCTGTGCATGACTGTATTTTTTTCTTGTAATCACTTGTTTTTTCCTAAGTAGATTCTATGGAGTTTTTTACTTGTAGGATGTGCATGATACCATTTAATCTACTCTATGGAATCGAAACATTGATTATATAAAAATGTCATTCCTATATTGTTGACCACTGGCAATTTCAACTCCAATCTTTTCACATGATACTGCTAAGTGCTTTTTGAAGACCAACAAGTAATATGGTGATATATTATATCAAAAGTTGCCTCAATCTATTTTCATTTTCATTTATTATATATATGAAGCCATTGACATTTTAAAATGTCTTTTTTTTCCCATGATAACCCATATATATTACTGAAGTGTTGATTCTTACATCCTAGTTATAAGGCTCTGGCCTTTTGATCTGTTAATAAAAATGTATAGTTCTGTTGTTGCAAGTAAACTGTTGTTACAACTTCTGTTGGACTTTGTTTTTGTTTACTTCTGTCTTTATAGGATACTAAATAGGTGGCATCCATCTGTTGACCACAGGTCATTGGGTGGCGTTCATTTATTGACCACAGGTCATTGGGTGGCGTTCATTTATTGACCACAGGTCATTGGGTGGCGTTCATCTGTTGATCACAGGTCATTGGGTGGCGTTCATTTATTGACCACAGGTCATTGGTCGACGTTCATCTGTTGATCACAGGTCATATTGCTTTAACCAAGTGGTTAAGGTGTCTGACCATCTGGATCACAAGCCCACCATCACTGTGTCACAGGTCTGAGGCCTACATGGGACAGTCGCTAGGTACTTCCTGCAGGTCAGTGTTTTTTCTCCGGGAACTCTGGCCTTCCTCTTCCACCAAAACCTGGCACATCCCTAAATGACCATAACTGTTATATAAAACAATAGTACATAAAACAAAAACAAAACCAATCATATTGCTTTTAACTATTTCTTTCTCTGAAACTAAGAGATGGATATCGCCCATATTTCTTTGGAAGTATTCCCAGGTGGTAAGGAACTCAAAAGTGTACAAGTGGAGGAACTCGCCACCTTGGAGCCGAGAGGTCGAGTTAAAGATCAATATTGCTTTATGGGACTTTTCTAGAACAATGAGATGAATTTTAAGAATATTTGGATGAAAGAATTCTCGGACTCTAATGAACTCATTGAGGGGCTGGTCAGTGGATCCCCTGGCAAGCTTGAGGGACTGGGCCCAAAAATTGTTATCTGGCCATTTTGGAACTATGATATGAATAAAACCAGCTTTAGTCAAAAGCATTCTAAAGTGTTGGGAACTCAAAATTATGTAAATTGACTTAGCTGAAACTACGAGATAGATATTGCCCACATATTGTTTAAAGCCTTCTCTAGTGGTAGAGATTCAAAATTGAAGAAATTTGGTGCTAGGGCGGGCAAAAAAATCGCAATTTGATCCAATTGCTTCAAGTAGCTTCTTAAGAAGTACAAGATTGATATCGCCCACATTTGTTTGGAATCATTCTTGATGGGGCTCAAAATTGTACAAATGGTGGGGCTGATCCCTTGGGGAGCTAAGGGGAATAAGGCCAAAATGGCTTTTTTGTCGCATTCCTTTAGGAAGATGGAGATTGATATCGTCCATATTTTGTTGTAATCATTCCCATGTGGTGCAGACTCAAAATGTACAAGCTATAAATTCTCCAAGGGAGCTGCAAAACTGCAAACAGAGGGGTCAAATCTCCCTCCCCAATAGGGGTGGGCCAAAAAGCCTTGTTAAGCCAAATTTTTTACCAGGTACCGTAAAAACCCATGTAATTTGCGCACTTTTTTTCAGAAATTTGATACCCAAAGTGGGGGGTGCGTAAAATACACAGGTATAGAAAATTTCAAGTTTTTTTCAGGAAAAGATCGACGATTCTGAGAGATCGCCATCTTGGATTATGTCCCTTGTTACACGGAACCCTAAGACAAATGACGGTCAACAAATTTATTTATGTCAAACATTAATAAAAGATACATAATGTGTTGTTATGTGAGTTTATGTGAAAAGTATTAATAAATAGGTAACCGTTAACAAAAAAAGTTTAGCCAAATTCCTATGCCAGAGAATCGCCGATCAACTTACGACATTACGTTTCGACATCTCGGTGCGTTTCCCGATACTATTACGAAAATGTAGTTGTTCAATTTAAGCTCCGTTCCATGTAAGTTCTGTAAGTTTTTTTTAAATCGCCTATGCGTATACGTATAGCATGTTTTTTTCCGGCACTCTTTCATGTTGATCTCGCGTCTAACATTACGTAAACACGTGATTAGGTAAGCAAATTCTCCTCTGAAACTATGAGCTGAGGGTTGCAAGGGCTAAGGATGTTAATTAGGTCATAGGTATTTTAGCAACTTCTTTTCCAGGATTTAGAGATGGATATTGTCCATATTTGGTTAAAAGTATTCCAAGGATGTGGGAATTTATGTACAAGGAGGGCTGAGGAGCGGACCAAGAGTGTTTGTCTACAGTTCTGGGGGTCCCGGGTTTTAACCCATGGAGACTGACAATATGTACCCATGGAGTGGTGGGCAGCTGAGGTGCTGGGCCCAAAAAATGTTATTTTGCCATTTATCTTCAACACACCTCCCTGCAACTAGGAGATGGATATACGGCCTAACTCATGTTTGATCAAAAGTATTTGCAGGTGCTCTACTCCAAATTGTTAAAATGAAGCAGTAGATCCCCGTCCTTGTTAAACTTTGAAAAGGTTGGGGTGGCATCATCCTGTAATTATGTCATCTATTAAAATGATATTAAAAAAACACAATCATGCTTTTGGAATAAACTCTGTGGCCTTGCTTCACCCAGGGGACTTAATCCCTTCATTACAACATGGAAATCAGTAAGTTTCTCACCATAAAACCACAAATACAATTGAGGTAAAGAAAGGACTCTGGGGTTTGTTTCGCCCGTAAAGAATTTTCTCTGATGTGAAATAACATTGAAATTGTAAAGTCCCCAAATATACAGTACATACATGCTTTATTTATTCTTGATTACATATTGAGCATGAAGCTCATCTTACATATTGTCAAGATACAATGTATGATAAGATGCACAATATTTACAGCTTTAAGAAATATGCATGTATATAATACAGGATAAGGGAGGAAATCATAAATCATTTCAAGTAAAATTGCTTTGCAGATCTCTTGAAATTCTAAAAATGAAGTACAATTTCTAATGTGACTTGATAAAAGATTCCATGTAAGGAGTCCCTGATATTTAAAAGATTTTCTAAAAATGTATGTCTTATGACATGGCAAATAAAACACATTAGTAGATGATGATCATATACGTAAAATCATTCAAATGTTGTGGAGCTAAATTACTAAGTATCTTGTACATAAAAACTACTTGATTGTATAAAATTCATTGTGAAAAGGTAACCAATTTAGTTTTTTGAACATATCACAGGAAGGTGTGGAAAAATCACATTTTAAAAATAATTCTGGCTGCTCTCTTTTGCAAGCGTTCTAATTTTACAATATTATTTTTTGAACTGTTACCCCAAACAGTTGAGCAATAATCCAGATGTGGGTTAACAACGCAATTAAAAAAGGTCATACAAGATGACTGGCTCAAGAAGGGTCTCAATTTTTTCATCTGAAAAATTTGACATGATATCTTTTTACAGACATTTGTAAATTGAATGTTCCAAGAGAGACAACTATCTATGGACACTCCCAAAAGTTTTTCACATTTTACATTTTCAATGTTTATATTGTTGATAACTTACGGACAATTCTTCTGTTAATTTTGCATCAGCATTGAAGTTGGTATTTACAATGTCAAGTGATTTCCCTTGTGATTGCGCTGCGGTGTCATAATCAACGTACATATACAAAGAACTTTGATTTGAAATCAGGGGCAGGACATTTACATATAAAATGAACAAAAGTGGCCCCAATATTGACCCTTGCGGGACACCGACTGAAAGAGGGAGAGAATCACTCAGTGTTATTGAAGTTTAAAATTTGAAATCTCCCGCTCAAATAACTTTGAAAAAAAAAATCATTGTTTTGGATGAACACCCATACAATTCCAATTTAGACATTAAAATAGGTTCACAAGGTCGAATGCCTTTCGAAAATCAAGAAATAGAACACCTGTCAAAATACCTTTGTCTATAGCCTCATACCGGGTGTTTGTGATATTGGTTAGCGTAGTATCACATGAGTGTTTTGCTCTGAAGCCAGATTGGCTATCTGTAATCAAATTGTGGTCAAACAAAAATTTATAAAAATGGTCATGAATATGTTTTTCTAGACATTTTGATAAAACAGGAAGTAACTGATTATTAAATTGGTCTGTTACAAGTTACACAAAAGCTCTTTTTTACCCTTTTTAAAAAGAGGGCTTACTTTCGCATACTTCCAAACCTCCGGAAAACTGTTTGTGTCAATACTCAAATTCTCAAACAATTGGAGCAATGGATTTAGCACAGTTACTTCAAAAATTTTGCGCTGATGTTACCCGCGATCCTTACTATCAACCATTTTCCAAATGTGATGATTTGCATCCGCCTATGGACCACATTAAGCATAAAGAACGTATTCACGGTTACTGATTTCAGTAAATACAGACATGAATATTAGGGGAATATTAAAAATGTTACCCCTCAGCTTTTCTTTTGTATACGCTTTAAGTCTTGTTAACGTATCTGAAGAGTCGTTATCACATGTTTCTTTTACATATTGATCTGCTATATTAGTGAAATACTCATTAAAACAATTTCCTATTTCAGCTCCATCATGTTGTTATGCATTAGCAATAACCTTTTATGTTGCATGTTTTCCAGTATATATAAGTGATGTCAACCTGATGAATAACATTTTGAATTTTGGTGCTCTTAAAGTTTGTTTTCTTTTTGAGACAGCCCCCTTACATTCCGGAAGCTTAAAGCGTCTGCTTGATCCTTGTAGAATGTTATTTTAACCAATCAAACTCGAGGTTAAAGGGGTCACCACCATGGCGGAGTAAGTAAATATTTCTACACGTTCTCGTCGTAAACTTCAAATATTGTCGACAGTTTATACATACTCGAACATAATCATGTCTGTATTTACTAAAATGAGTAACCGTTAATACGTTCTTTATTTTTAATGTGGTCCATAGGTGGATGCAAATCACCACATTTGGAAAATGGTTGATAGTGAAGATCGCGGGTAATCGTAAAAAAAGGAATGAACTTTCAATCAGATGGTTGACATATTTTAAACTCACAAGCCCTGAATTTAAACTGTTTAATGTCTAGTTTTTCCATCTTTGATTCCAAATAGGTATCTAATTACTAGAACTATAGCTGTATCGCGACATATTGTGAAGCATTGTCACACATAGGAACACAGAATAACGTGGTTTCTGACATATGCTACAGTATAATTCCTGTAGGAATCTATCTAAATCAGAGATTTATAACGATAGATCTATAGTTATAAATCTCTGATTTAGATAGAGTTCATACAGGAATTAGCTACAGAAGATCTACAACGAAAGAGCGAAAAAAACTACATGGTTTTATTGTCCTCTTTAGATTTGCGATAAGTCATTCTACCTATCTCCAACAAAGTAAGAGTTTTAGGCCTAAAACGGCGAGATATTTTTGACACGCGACAAGTAACGGCTGTATTTTCTCCAGGTTTGAAAAAAAGCCTGAGAGGGAATTGATGCCAGAATTTCACATTTCAGAGACGCATGTACTTGTGTACACTTCCTTGCTCTGGAGCTGTCTCTTGTTATAAAATTTGAACTAAAATTGTCCCGTCAATTAAATTTAATGCAACAAACTCCTTCTAATTATCTACCTTTGAGCTCTCAAGACATTCTTTTAATATATAACATAACCAAATTAGTTACTTGGTTGCCACTGATCAACTCAGTCCAATTCCCCTAGGCCTACATTTCTCCCTCTGTTTGCTAAGTCTTCATCCTCAAAGGCAATGATGTTTTCAACCAAGGTTCGGGTATCCTGTTGCTAAGCGTACACACAATACTTTAAACAATTTTGTGTTATCAGGGGCACCACTATAACAGGAGAGGAAACATGCACAACCAAACAAGGATTTTAACACAGGACCTCTGAACTCTACACAGACACACTAACCATACACAGACACACTAACCATACACAGATACACTTACCATACACAGATACACTAACCAAACACAGACACACTAACCAATTTGGCTAACAGCTGGCCTGGTCACCAGCAAACACCCTGTCTAGTAACACATTAAAATAAGAAGAAACTGAGAACACCATAAAAATTATCACAATGGATGGAAAGACGTTAAAAATCATAACCATGGACAAAACGATATAAACTGTCTCAAATTGAGCTTAATTTAGTAAAAATAAAATTGTTGGCACTATAACATAAATTCAGAGTTATTAATGGCTAAAATTTACATGATATTGCCAAAATGTGTTTCTGAAAATAAGAAAATGATTTTGGGAAGTACTGGCTGCAACATCAGGGTTACTCAGTCCAATTCTCCTAGGCCTACATTTCTCCCTCTGTTTTCTAAGTCTTCATCCTCAAAGGCAATAATGTTATCAACCAAGGTTCGGGTATCCTGTTGCTAAGCATAAACACAATACTTTAAACAATTTTGTGTTATCAGGGGCACCACTATAACAGGAGAGGAAACATGCACAACCAAACAAGGATTTGAACACAGGACCTCTGAACTCTACACAGACACACTAACCATACACAGATACACTAACCATACACAGACACACTAACCATACACAGACACACTAACCAATTTGGCTAACAGCTGGCCTGGTCACCAGCAAACACCCAGTCTAGTAACACATTAAAATAAGAAGAAACTGAGAACACCATAAACATTATCACAATGGATGGGAAGACGTTAAAAATCACAACCAAGGACAGAACGATATAAACTTCAAATTGAGCTTAATTTAGTAAAAAATAAAAATGTTGGCACTATAGCATAAATTCAGAGTTATTAATGGCTAAAATTTACATGATATTGCCAAAATGTGTTTCTGAAAATAAGAAAATGATTTTGGGAGGTACTGGCTGCAACATCATCTTACAAAAAACTCCAGGGTGCAAAATGTTAGTGCAGCTTATAACTGGTCCAGACCATTTATTGTAACTTACAGGGAAAATCCTAAAATTTGAGAGCGGTGAACCATTTTCAGCAATTTTTAGTCAATATCAGAATTAAGAGGGGTGGCCATGGCCATTCTATGTAAAATTAAAAGAATATTGGAACATGGAGGGGTCAATTTCAGTTTTGAGGGGTCAATGGCCCCATGGCCCCCTCCAGGATTATCCCCGACTTATGTACCAATTTCTCAGAATCAAATAGGGTACTAGCTATATATAGGTGATTCCGTAATATTTTCACATTACAAAACATTATCACCAGTGTACTGCAAAAAAAAAAATCAAACAGGAAATTATTATTTGAACAGAATGTGCTATAAAAGTAAGGTACATTTTAAAATAAATATTGTTTGGGAGGGCTGAAGCTATCCGGTCTGTCTAGCTACTATCAGAACAAATTATAATTAGATGCCTATACTTGTGTAACAGGAAAGAGAATGGTGTGCTTCCACTGGGGATCGAACCCTTGATCTCAAGGTTCCTAGTCGGACGCTCTACCACTGAGCTAAAGGGAAATTCACTCTATCTAGCTCGAAGCTAGAAGGCAACTGTAATCCTATGTACAATTAAACCCTGCCACACTTGTATATATACCTGGCAAGGTATTCGCCAGGCCCGATAGGCTGCGGGCTGCATTCACCATCATAATTTTTACTGATTATATAAAATCAAATATTATCCACATGTCAGATAGTTAAAATAGGTTGAAAATTTTCCAAGAATCATTTTTGATATTTTAAGGGATCAGTTTCCATTTCTAGTTTTGTTATTCTAATTTTTTCAGCCCACAAGACAGAAAGTTAAAAGATGCTCAGATGCGAGCAACTATCAACCAAAAGCTGGTGGAGACCGGTGAAAGGGAAAGGTAAACTATTTGTATTGCTTTGTTCAATCCTTAAAGCTTCATCACATATCAAGTTCTAATTACGATTTGACTAGGTGGTCAGTCCAACAAATAAATCTGTAACTGCAGTTTCAATCCACCCTCTGCATTCTGAAGCATTACCCAATGACATTCTATGATCACATGAGAAAACATGTACTGTTTTGCGGTCTACATACTTGACTCTGCTTCACAATTAAGTGCAAATTGAGCTTAAATCCAATAAAGGAAGGTTAGTAAATCGCCAGATTTGCAAATAAATCGTAATGATAGTTGTCCCATATCAACAACTAATATTACTTTGTTGCCAGTGTCGAGCCGGATTGTTCGAAATATGTTTTAATTTAGCAACTGTATAATTTTGTGTAGTTGGGTTGGCAATATTTATTTAAGTTTTGTTCGATCTGTCCAGAGGTTTACTGTATACCTTTTCAAGAGTGGCCCTTAATGACACTCTTTCTCAATAAAACACTAAAAAGACATGATAGGGATCTCCACTGAGCCATAAGTTGCTGATTTCCCTAATATGCATCACTGCCATTACAAAAATATACATTTCTAAAGAGTTGTAGCCCATGATCAGTAATTTTTCAAGTGGCTTTTGAAGATCCACTATATCTCTTAGTACCAGTAATATGATTCTTAAGAATTTTGAATCCAGGTAATGTTTAGTGCTTCACTCTAGTTATAGGGGATAAGCGCATCAGTTTGTGGTTGTTAGTAGAAAATACATGCTCAATTTCTGTTTTGGAAATTATGTCATACAACTTTTAAAATTTATCCGGAAAGAGGATTTCCAGAGCAGATTACATTGAGTAATTCTACATAATCTTCACTGGTGTTTTATGCTGTTGGATTTCAGTTGCACATTGTAACTTTCGCTGAGTCACATTTCATCATACGAAACAGAATTAAATTAGAAAAAAAATATTTGACAGAAATGCAGATTTCACTGAGTAATTAAAATAAGACTGAATTTATTGGACTTTTTTTTACATTATATGATTTTTTTTATTTAAGTACATATTGATCAAGTTTATTTTGTTTAGCCCTGTTTGTTATTCTTCAAAGTCATTATTGTTGTGTTTGTGCTCTATTTACAGACTGAAAGAATTATTGAGGACCAGACTTATAGAATGTGGATGGAGAGACCAACTGAAGGCTCATTGTAAAGGTATGTATTATAACAATCAATCCGACTCAACACCCTCAAGGAATTCAAGTTGTCCCATGTAATGTGGTGTGGTTCTATGTAATATAACAATCAATCTGACTCAACACCCTCGAGGAATTCAAGTTGTCCCATGTAATATGGTGTGGTTCTATGTATTATAACAATCAATCTGACTCAACACCCGCGAGGAATTAAAGTTGTCCCATGTAATGTGGTGTGGTTCCAGCTTTTGGCCTGTTTCTTACCTTTGTAGTAATATGTGAACTTATTAGGGGTAGTGGTTAATGCGTCTGACCATCTACAATCACCTATAGCCCTCCACCACTTGGTCGCAGGTTAAAGGACTATTTTGGGCAGTCACCAGGGGGCCACAGGTCAGTAATTTTTCTCCATGTACTCTGGTTTCCCTCCACCACCAAAATGTGACTGGTCCTTAAATAACCATAATAATAATAATTTGAGGTTCTTATATACTGCTTTATCACAACCTAGTTTGTAGGTTGTCCCAAAGCAGTTCACAAATTATTATCCGTGGTTATAGGGCCTTAGCAACCAGCCAATCACTTTCTCAACTCCCTGGGGAGCATAAAGCGGGAGCTGCCGTTTTGGCGCTAACAGCTAGCATTCAACAATTCTAGCACTGTCCAACCATGTACTCATTTACAGCTGAGTAGACTGGAACAAGCGGAGTAAAGTATCTTGCCCAAATATACAGCTCAGTGCCGTGACTCGAACCTGCAACCCTTCGGTCACGAGCCCCACGTCCTACCACTAGATTATCGTGCCTCCATAGCTGTTAATAGGACATCAAGCACAAACAAACCAAGTCATTCACTTAATGTACAAGTCAGTAATACAAAATGACATTTTAAGAAAATAAACCTTCTAACCATGTAGCTAATAATAATATAGCTAGACTACTGAAATAATATACACAGAAAGTTACATTTTTGATGAGATTTGTATGTATTTAAAGACAGATAAATAAAATATATAGAGTATTTACTTAGATTAAAATTTCTTTAGATTTACAGGGACTCCTCCTTGGATATCGCTTTTGATATCTGTCACAGCGTGACACATCAGTTGTATAAAGTTGATAGAATCTGATATGTCACAAGCAAAATGTAATGGAACATAATTTCATACAAGTTTTAAATTCAACAGTCTTATTGAATTTGTTTGAAATGTCTATTTCAGAGGTGGTAAAGGAGAAGGGCCTGGAGCACATAACAGTGGACGACTTAGTGCAGGAAATTACGCCAAAAGGAAGAGGTATAAAAAACCAGACACTTAGCAAATGGTGTTGTAGGACTAGTGTCCCACTGCACTCTGGTTTTTCGTGCATAGAGTAATCCCCCCTTAATTTCATTTTAGATATTACTAGTCATTTGGGCAAGGACGATCCTGTGTACCGGGTAGCTCAGCCAGTTAGAGCAATAGTATAACAACCTGAAGTTACTGGTTCGAAACCCTGATCTAGCCCTGATTAACTTTTAAACTTTTACACTCCTGACACTTGTTGATTATGTTTTGTTTACTTCCTCTTTATCATTTTTAGCTCACCTGGTCCTAAGGGCCAAGGGGAGCTTATGCCATACCGTGGCGTCCGTCGTCCATCCTTCCGTACTCACGTCCGTTGTCCGTCTGTCAACAATTTCTTTAAACGACTTCTTCTTCTTAACCACTGATTGGAATTCAACTAAATTTGACTGGAAGCATCCCTAGGTGGTGGGGATTCAAAATTGTGCAAATGGTGGGGCTGACCCCCAAGGGGGCTGAGGGGCGGGGCAAAAAGGGGGCAATTTGGCTATATTGCTTTAAGCGACTTCTTCTCTGGAACTAAGAAGTGGATATCAATCATATTTGACTGGAAGCATCCCTAGGTGGTGGGGATTCAAAATTGTACAAATGATGGTGCTGACCCCCCAGGGGGCTGAGGGGCGGGGCAAAAAGGGGGCAATTTGGCTATATTGCTACAAATGACTTCTTCTGTAGAACTATGCCATGGATATCAACCATATTTGACTGGAAGCATCCCTAGGTGGTGGGGATTCAAAATTGTACAAATGATGGGGCTGACCCCCAAGGGGGCTGAGGGGCGGGGCAAAAAGGGGGCAATTTGGCTATATTGCTTTAAGCGACTTCTTCTCTGGAACTAAGAAGTGGATATCAATCATATTTGACTGGAAGCATCCCTAGGTGGTGGGGATTCAAAATTGTACAAATGATGGTGCTGACCCCCAAGGGGGCTGAGGGGCGGGGCAAAAAGGGGGCAATTTGGCTA